TATATATACATATTTTACATTTATACATATAAAATCTTTAAGAAAAAAAATGAAATAGTAAATACTCCTCGGGTTTATAGAAAAAAAGTTAAATGCAAAATTTCAAAAATATTGAAAGCAAGTTAATCTCGGTAAATCTGCATAATGAACAAATAATTAAACATTATAATTATTGACATATCGATACTTTCAGTTTATGAGTTTGTAACTTTTATTTATGATTTATACATAAAAATACTGATTAAACGTACACATTCTCCTTTTGTATGCAGATGTTGTGCTCGCCGCATTTAAATTCATTCTTAGGGCATCCATGCACAATGCATGTTCGATTGTTACTTGATAACGCCATTCCAGGAGGACAAGCACAAACCTAGCAGTTTGATCATTAAAATATCATATTAAATTTCTTCGATAAATAATATAGTATCAACATATAGTATTGATCAAAATAAGGATATATCTACATAATTTGCATAACCGCATAAACGCATGCAAACTAAATTATCTAATTACATTTTTCTTATAAAATCGTACGTAAAATGTGATTGGATAATTTTCTTTATATTATATATTCCAACAATATTAATTATATATAAGAGGCAGTATATTCATCGAATAATTAACACATGATTACATCGCCCACACAGGAACACACACACATATATAAAAATACATATTTGCATACTTACAAATGAAGTAATAGAGGAAAGCAGACACACGTGTGAGCAATTTCCATTATTTTTTTGACAATCGTGATCCTGTTTAGCATCTTTTCGCAAAGTTATTACACGCGGAAAAATTGTTGGGAAATCTACTAATTCATTGGATATATCTAAAAAGATATTTTATTTTCGACTAACAATCCTACGTATGCATTGTATTTTATTAAATAAGCATTAAAGGAACTCACGCAATATAACATCTTTATGATTCAGATTAGAAGAGTTTTTAAAATCTGTCGAGTATAATGTTGAATAATCTAAGTATTTTTCATATTCAATCCAAAAAATATTGTCGTCAGCGACAGTAAGACTTATAGGCTGTTGTAATCCAGTACGAAATAAACGTGCGTCTAAAAATAATTTAATACTTTTATAATATTTATACATGTTTTCATAATAAAATATTGACATAAACTTCACTATATTTTTATAATGTATAAAATTTTAATTTATTAGTTTAATAATATATTTTAAAGTTCACATCTATGAAATTTAGTAATAAGATTTAAAACTTAAACATTTACAAAAAGTCAGAATGCAAACCTTCGGCCGACAAGATATTCAGCGACAAGATATTACCAGACATTTGATCACTCACGAAGAGCGTTTTACTGTCTCTATCGTAGTACATTGATATTACTGGGCCATGCAAATTATCTCTGAGTAGTTTTTTTTCACCAAGTCCGTTCATTTCCATCTCATATATACAAAATCTCTCAAATGTGTGATTAGAAGAAAGTAGGTTTTTAAACGCTACGTACATCTTGCTACAATGCACACATAGACA